CCAGGTTATAACGGTTCCTCCTGAATGTTTGGACCAAACATCATCCAACAGTTTCACACGACTGCGTCGTTTTCGTCTTACATTCATCGTCTACAGTTTATTTAATGGATACAGATGGTTTTCTAAAAGTTCCTGTGATCTAATGACAGAGAGAGTTTGGGTTAAAGCAGAGTTCTGAATGAAGTTTAATTAAATTCAGTTCTGTCACCACCTGATCCGGTCCAGAGATGGACCGTCACACAGCCGGTGTGTGTCCACCGGGTCTGCGTGCTGATTGGCTGGTGCCTGTTCTTAGTGTTTCTGATGAGCCTGATGTGCTTCCTGCTCAGCGGATAATAACTGGTGTGATCCTCAGAGTCCAGCTGAGAGCTCCTCTGAGCTTCGTCTCTTCGTCTTCTGAGTGTCTTTTAGCTCACAGAGGTTAAACAGAACCGCAGCGTTTGTTCTGAGGATCGACCCAGATGGTCCGCTCAGGGCTGATATCAGTTATTGATGTGTGACGTGCTGATGTTCTCCTCTGTTTACTGATTGATCGATCCAGATCTTACAGCATTGTTAGTTTCAGGTTTTTAGTGTTTAATCTGTGGCTGCCTCCTAACGTAGCAGCTAGCTGTTAGCGTAGCATTAGCCACCAGAAAGCGGCTAACGTTGTGGTGTGTGGAGACCTTTGAGACGTTTCTGTCCTGCATGTGTTTGATTTGTCGTCCACGTCGGTTCAGAGCCCAGTCGAGGACTCACAGTCTGAATACATGAACGTTATTTAGAGGAACGACTCGTGGCTTCAGAGCAGCAGCTCTGGCTGGTGACACACGACACCGGGACTGTTGGCAACTAATCTTCAACGGGCTGGAAGCTTTCATAAATAAACGCGTCCAACATTAAACGGACCACAGGCCTGATTAAATCACATTTAAATGTCCTGCAGCAGCCTGTCTGCTGCTCTGATGGCCCGACGGATGGAGGTTCTCCTGGTGCCGGTCGGGTCCCTGAACACGCTCGCACTGTAAACCCTCCTCCAGTGTGGTGAATATCCAGCAGGTCACGTGGGGGAACCGGCGGGCGTGTCGATGCCTCCGTATCTGCTCTGGTTCGCCGGCCTGCAGATCACTGCGGTCGGAGAACATCACAAAGAGTCGGCTGTGATGTTCGCCGGGAGTTTTCCTGCAGCTTGATGGAAGACAGAGACGGAGGAGCGATCAGAAAGAGTGCACATGTAGAAACCTCCACACACTTCAAAGACGTGAACACACAGTCTGGAAGCAGGACAACACGGACACACAAACAGAGCAATCTGAGGAACAGGCTGTAAATCACACACAGCTTGTGGGAGCAACGAGCTTCAGTCTGTTTGTTTGTAGTTTGGCCGCCAGGATTCACTAAATACTCCAACATGAACCAACACCACGGCTTTCATGAATGGAGGGAGGTTCTCTGAACTCTGGTTGTCCTCCTGCTCTGGTAGTCAGAGAGCCACTCCAGTACAAATCAATAACCTCCTCAGAACCTCCTCAGAACATCTGGTTCTGTATCTACTGACCAGAGTTCTACCTTCAGACTGTGAATCATTTCTGAGCCTCAGAACTTCATCAGTACAGCAGATAGACACATGACATGTAGGAGGAAGAACACATCTGGGTTCTGGTCAGGTCAGGTAGCATTAGGTCAGGTAGCATTAGGTCAGGTAGCGGTAGGTCAGGTAGCGTCAGGTCAGGTAGCGGTAGGTCAGGTAGCGGTAGGTCAGGTAGCATTCGGTCAGGTAGCGTCAGGTCAGGTAGCGGTAGGTCAGGTAGCATTAGGTCAGGTAGCGGTAGGTCAGGTAGCGGTAGGTCAGGTAGCATTAGGTCAGGTAGCATTAGGTCAGGTAGCGGTAGGTCAGGTAGCATTAGGTCAGGTAGCGGTAGGTCAGGTAGCATTAGGTCAGGTAGCGGTAGGTCAATGTGACAGCAGATGCAGGTTTGATACTGATCAGTTAATTGAACGACCCTGAAGTCTGAGATCAGATCAGGACATCTGGAGCTTTCTCATGGATTTATTTTTGGGGTTGTTCCCTCAGGGACCTTCTGCTCAGCCTGAAACGGTTTTATCATGAAGATGAAGTATCTGTAGAGAGATTTGTGACACTTTAGGTTCCATGTTTGTGACCCAGTATTTCATGTTGCAGTATCCTGTGTTTAGTTTCGTTTCACACTGCTGTAACAAAGTGATGATCTGACAGAATCGTGTCATGATTTGGTTCAAACAAACCAGAATTAGGCTTTTTAAACTGATTTAATTCCACACTTGGTTTCAGGAACGGCCTGGTTTGGATCGTTGTGACTGAACTGTGTTACCTTTAGTCGTCCGCCTCAGTGAACAAACTGAGCCATGCGGCCGATGGCGTCCTATCAGAGCCTTGTTGGGGTTGTTGGGAGTCTCAGCAGCTTTGATGTGAACCGACAGAAGGCAGCTGGTCTCACTTGTTCCCATCCACACGTTCTTCATCCGTCCTGATCTCCATGTCGGTGCCTTCGGCCCTCGGAGCTGCTCGGCGTGTCCAGGCGGCTGCCATCTGTGAGACTCGGAGCTCGGTGCACACATTTGTTCTTCTTTGAGTCTTCTGGTGAACCACATGAGACGAGCGTCTGAAGTGTTCCTGCATGTTTCCCTGGTTCTGGAGGCTGTTTGGATCTGACACCCTTATGTGTTTCAGTCAGAACGTCATCTCGGAGCTGCTGATGTTTGGTTCTAGAAGCTGTTCAGTTAACTCTCCATCCATGTTCTCTGTGCTGTCTGAACGACTCAGAAGCTGGATTTCATGAAGCTTGCTGCAGAGGTCGAGCACAGGAGAAGCAGGAAACCACTAAAATCTGTCTGTCAACAGGCAGCTGGTTGGAGAGTTTAATATTTGATCTGATATTTCTGAGCTCGGAGCTTCATCTACTGACAGATAGAAGCTGCTCCAGGACCTTCTGTAGACAGGATTCTCTCTGAGTGGTTTCTAATACAGATGGAAAACGTCCATTAAAGGGATCAATGTGGACCCTCCTCTGTGGACTTCAAGGACCTGGACCTCTGAAGGTAGAACTCTGGTCAGTAGATAAAGGTGCTGCAGATACAGAACCAGATGTTCTGAGGAGGTCCGGGGAGAACTTATTTCAGATCTGTTTACCGGTTTTCTTCACAAACTAGCGACTCTGCAGGATGTTTTTCACTGTATAGCTTTTATTACAGGAGTACACGTAACAGTCACGGTAACAAAAAAGGAAAGGAAGGAAGTAGCACAAGACATTCATATTTAAACTAAATGAACACGTTTTCCTGTAAAAAGAACTTCAAATATGTACAGAGTGACAGAGGACAGGTTGAGGAACGGACAGGTGAGAGGAAGTGTAGTCGCATGGCACTTTAAAAATAAACATACCTCGCAAGTGCTTTCTGTTTTCCATAATTAATATCAAATAAAATGCAGTGATAATAAGTCTGAATAACAAAACAAATAATAATTATTACAGTAATCAAATCAACAATATTAACATTTTAAACACTGTTTACAATATAATTGAAATACATAACACTCTAAATACATCCAATATTTACCAGAGACCTCCTCATTTAGGCTAAAAACTCTAAATCTGTAATAGAATAAAAAATAGCATTTCAAATATCTTATGACAACAATATTAATCGTACAATAACATTAATATTAGGTTATTAGTAGATGTAAATAGCTGATTTTCCCCGTGGCTTGCTAAAGGAAGGAATATTGTACAAATTAATATACACTATAACCTATTAATGCTCTTCTTCGCTTTCACAAAATGCAAATATTTAATCAGCTAAATTTCATATATATTTATATATTTATATATATAAAAGGGAAAGAAATAGCAAATCTCACTCCATACAAACTATTGCAATCTAGAACTCTCAATTAGAAAATGTACACGAGAAAAGCAGCAAAAAAACTCCATTTTCTTTTTCTTTTTTTTTTTTTATCGTGAAGAAATCAGTGGTGTGGTTGGTAGAAAGAGTGAACAGCGTCTGGCAGTCTGGAATGCTATTGGACGACAGCACCGTCCAATGAGAGAAGCCCTCTGAGTGTGACCCTGCCCTTCCCTGAAGCCTCATTGGTCCTTCCCTTCTCGAGCTTGAGCGCAGAACTCCGGCCGAGGATTCGAGAGCAAAGTTCCACCAACAGTCCCAGAAGTGGTCCGTGTTCGGGACCGAGGCCGGGACCGTCTTCTCTCCGAGAGTTCTGATTGTGCAGTCACCCAACGCCGCCGATCTCTTCTAGCGCGTAAAGTTGCTCAAAGCGCCAGATTGATTTCATTTTGCATTCTTAGTGCTGATTGGAGGAGCAGCAGAGACACAACGTGGCCTTCTCCACAGAACTCAAAGCGGCCGCCCCGAGGAAACACGAACAGCAAACAGACAGACACACAGGACGACAGGCCACGCTGGAGCAGCATGTATGGAGGTGACCTCCACCCCGGCCTCCGGCTCTACTCCGGCAGCACAGAGCTCACTGCGACTTGGAAGTGTGGCGTAGAAACCGAAGCACAGGTTCAGAGGGTTTACAGAGCAGATCTGGACCGGATGACTTCTGACCTGGTTCTGGTTGTTTTTCTGTTTATCTGCTATCGAATGTGCCTCCTCAGAGGGACGCTGCAGGTAAAGTCAGTGCTGTTTGAATAGAACAGTCCAGAAGCAGCCGGCCCAGGTCTGAAACTACAAGGACGTGCAGTCAGAGTTAGAGACCAGGAAGTGAAGGCTGTCCGTGGTCCCCTAAAGCTCCTGCTCTGCACCTGAGTTCACCGTCTTTAGGACGACTGGGGCGACATGTGGAGCTCATGCAGATGGGCAACCTCTGCAACCTGGGTTGCAGAAAGGAAAAGGAGGTAATAAAATGTAGTTCAAGGTAGAATTTATCAAATAAAGACTTGCAGTTTCCATTTTTAGGGTTTGTAATGTGGATCCCAACACTTGAAGGCCACAGAGACGGCGCTGGTCTTCCAGGAAGAGTTGAACTCCTCAAGAAGTCGAGCTACAACCTCTGGAGACTCCACACTCGTGGACAGCTGTCGCACCGTGCTGACAAACTGCTGAACAAAGCTGTGGACCTGTCTGGTGTTCTGTCCAGTAGAACTCTGAGGAGCTTATGGCGGGTCAGTGGAGGTAATGTTGAAACTGCAGAGTTCTAACCAGTGAACCAGCAGCAGGTGAGGCTGCCCATCTGCATCACCCAGAGTGTGTCCAGCATGTGAGCTACAGCACTACCAGCCGTCCCCTCTCTGCCTGCACTGATCCTGGACCCTAATTACAGTATAGGTTGAATGCACTGACTGCATCGTGAGACGTTAGCTTGAGGAAATGGTTCAGAGTCGGGCTCCCTGCGACCCGATGTGCTGTGATCCCTTTGCCTGCATCTGTATGCGAGTAAACAATCTGAATGTTAACGGACCGCTGATGGAAAACACCTGACAAAAGCCTCCACTGATTTCTGCCATTCCTTTAAATATTTATCACAAAAAGCCAACAGCTTGGATCTGGGTGGCGCTGCTCAGAACTCAGAGTCGACCGTGTGACCAGGAACTCCACAACTTTCCGTTTCCATCTCTTTACCCTGCTAGACAACTGAAATGGTTTGTAGGTTTTGATTAAGCACAAGCAAAATGCTAGAATATCATGTTGTGTCCTCCGATACCCTGTTCGTCCATCCCACCTCCCGTCCCTCCACAGCCGTCTTTCCTTTCAACACTTCATTTCACCAAAGTACCACCGTCCTTCTCTCTCTCCCTTTGTGCACTACCCACATTCTCTTTCAAATTATATTACATAGCTTTTTGTACATACTTTTTGTTTGTATATTTCTTTAAAAAAATACACAGAATAGAGCATAATTAAGAACTTTTTTGGCAGCTTCTTCCTTTCTTAAAGGAAAGTCCCGATCATCATCAGCTGTAACAAGAGACGAAGACTTCTGCTTTTCTTTTAGTCTGAAAAGGAACCTCCAACTTGGCAGAACAAAGGTGGAGAAGAAAAAATAACTCTGAAATTCCTTCTTTCCTTCCTTCAATCTTCTTCGATCACTCACCCCCTCCCACCTACTCGCCAGCCCTCCGCCCTTCAGACCGTCGCTCCCAGGAGCTCTTCCGACTTGGCCATGATCTCGTTCTGGTTGGAGTCCAAGCCGTAGAACTTAACCTTGAGCCCGTCGACCGGGTGGACCACCGGTACCGTGACCACGCGGGGGAACTGCCGGGTGGCCAGCTCAAAGCGGCTGGTGCTGGCCAGCTCGATCGCCAGGATGCGAAGGAAGAGGGTGGCGAGCTGCTTCCCCAGACAGGACCGGACGCCGCCGCCGAAGGGCAGGTAGTGGAAGCGTCCCTCCTTGTCTTCACCCCGCTCCTGACTGAAGCGGTCCGGGTCGAAGGCGTCCACGTCCTTGAAGACGGCGGCGGTGTCGTGGGTGTCCCGGATGCTGTACATCACGCTCCAGCCCTTTGGGATCTGGACTCCCTGCAGACAAACGACAACATGACAGTGAGCGGGCGTCTGATCAGACACATCTCTGTGGTCCAATCAGTGCTGAGAGAGACGCTGCATCTGACTCTGTTCCTGGATCTCATCTTGGCTTGATGCCGGCTTTAAATACAGGAATATGAGAAGCAGTTGGGGCGTCAGTTTGTCTTTGCCAGTGTGTCCGTACAGCGTTGCTTTATGGGTACGTTCAGGTAGTTTGATCTAGTTGTGCTAATTCTATACAACTGTCGTAACTGATCATCAGTTCGTATGTAGAATGGTAACAAACACTTGCTGAAACATAAAAGGACAGATGTTGCACAGTCACGATGAATATGACGCACAGGTAGGGCGGCTTTAACTCGAGTTCTGGTGTTCAAGCCGCCAACGTAAACTTTACGCTGCTGGTGTCCTGTCCTAGCTGAACTCCACCCTGCTGTCAGCACTGGTTTCTTTCCTGATAACGTCTCTAAAGGAAGCTCTACAGGATGGTCCCTGCAGTCAGAACAAGTCCAGATCTTTGGACCCAAAGTGGAAAACAGCACATAGACTCGGATATGAAAACAGTACTCACGTCAAGCTCGAAGGTCTGCATGGCGGTTCGGTAAGCGCCGGAGACGGGCGTGAACAGCCTCAGCACCTCCTTGATGACACAGTCCAGGTACTTGAGGCTGACGATGGTGTCCAGCCGGAGCTCGGCCTCGCGGCACAGGCAGCCGTTGTGCAGCAGGCCTCGGGCCCTCAGCTCCTCCCTCAGGCGCTCCAGGACCGGAGGGTGGCGCAGCAGCTGCATGATGAGGGAGGTGCTGGCGCTGGCGGTGGTGGCGAAGGCGGCGAAGATCAGCTCGATGGTCGACTCCTGTGGGAGGGTAAAAAGGCAGAATTCAGTCGTCCGTCTTCTCTTGTGGCTGTTTATATTATTTACGTGCTGGTCCAGTAGCAGCTCTGTGAACATCAACAGCTCCTCAGAGGCTACAGCTCCACAACATCTCTAACCATCACGTTTGTAGGACAAATCCTGCCCGAAGGTTTCATAGCAGCAGAATATCTGGATCTTTATAAATGTATTGTGTAGACTTTTATCTTGATGTGTCAGAATCGGAAGTTTGTCTTTGTTTTATTTATTCTTTTATTAAGTCGACCCACTTCCAGCACTTCATCCGTGCTCCGTCATTTGAGGCCATGTTGGGATGTTTATGTCGACAGTGTGGGGTCTGGAACTGATGTTTTATTAGTAATGTTTAAGGAACCATTTAGGGAACCATTTAGAGGCTATCTATCAATACTCTGTTAGGGTCACGGTCAGCTGATGTCACGAGCTGACTTCTGCATGATCAGTTTTTAATGTTTTAATGTGCTCAAAGATCAGACTTTTCATGAAGGCATCCATTTTTTTTTTTTCATATTTCAACTCACCCACTATCAGATTATTGATCCAATATGACAGGTTCTGGATCAGTGACATGATGAGGAACATCAGAGAACATTTCAGGCTTTTAGCTTTAGCGGTTCCTCTGATGTTGTTGCTCAAACAGACTCAAGTTTTAATTTGAGAAGAAACCTGCTGAAAGATGGTGGACAGGTGGTGAATTATTGTTTTTAAATCTCAGATAGTGTTTGATGTGTTCATGAACACGTGACAGGTACCATTTTACATCTATGAAGCAGATCAGAGCTGGTTGAGCAGAAGGTCGCCTCTGATTCGATAACTTCCCAGAAAGTGAGACGTCTCCTGAACACAGAGCGTCACTATTCGCTGCTGGACCACGGTGGGGAAGAACCAGTCCCTGATATGGAAAGTCCAGCGTGATTCCAGCGTACACTGAGTGCTGGTCTGTTCTGAGGGCGTACGAGTTGATTTGTCTTTACTTTGTGGGAAAGCCAACTGGATTCTCCCTCAGCTTCTGACGGGCCAATTGCTTGTCACTTGAATAAAGGGTCTGCAGAGTGGAAATAAAGATGCTAGTATTATGTGCCGGAGGCTGGAGGTGGACGTCGGCCAGCCACGGCCGAGCGTCCTGCTCCAGAGGTGGCGGCAGATGCAGAACGCCCCGTCATAGAAACCTGATCCCATGTCACACCGCTGTCGGCGGCGTCCTGACGTGTTGTTTCAGAAAACCTTTTTGTTCATAAGCCTAAAGCCAAACTGTGAGCGACCTGGGAGCTCGACCTCACCCTCCGCCTCCCGCCTGCCATTTGTTTCATAACGGCCAAAAAAAATGTCAAAAGCCAATACATAATAAAAGTATGTTGTTTTTAATTCCTGAAAAGCAGCGTGTTTGGAAATATGGAGCCGCCGTCCAAGAACAACAGCGAGCGTGCCATGCCGGGCCCATTATTAAGGCAGTGGAATAAATAACAGAGAGGCCGGGCAGCACGACTCTCATTAGAAACCTCTCATCTGCCATCGTCTGTGTCAGAACACGCCTCCACACGCATGTGGACGCTGCAGCGGAGCACTTGGGCCGGGCCTCAGCAGCTCCGTTTGTGTATTTAAATGTGTGTGTGCGTACAGGAGGCCTCTTTCAGACCCCTCGCAGGGGGAGCGCTGACTTATTTTTGGCCCTGGACTTAACCCAGAAACCACAACGAGCGAGGGAGAAGCAGGCAGAGTTGAGTTTCCACAGAATTCCTTAGAATTACTTTAATAGGTAAATAGAGGGTGTGCCTGTCGCTGAGTCTGTTTTCTCTGTTGCTGTCTGCCGGTGGGCATCAGCTCAGCCGCCGGCAGAGCTCACCTGAACATGGAGGCACCTGGTCGCTCAGATCCACAGACCAGACGTTGTGACCACTTTGTACACAAACAGTATTCAGCCAGAACCTCCTCAGAACATCTGGTTCTGTATCCACTGACCAGAGTTCTACCTTCAGACTGTGAATGTTCCAGAGGTCCAGAACCTTGAAGTCCACAGAGGAGGGTCCAGATTGATCACTTTAACGGCCTCTTTGTATCATTTATTGACATAAACTACGTCTTTGAGTGTCTACATCTGCCGACATCAGAGAGTTGTTGATGGATCCTGTCTGTAGATGGTTCTGCTAGGTTCTGGAGGTAAAATGGTCCTCCCATCGTCTAGAACTGGTTCTGACCAACCACCATCACACATGCTGGTGAACATTTACCCAGAATGCACTTTGTAAAGTTTCCTCTGACCAGAAATCAGGTCCAGTGTTCAGACTGAGACACCTGGATGGATGTAGAACTGATCTGGTCTCAGGTTCTACCAGAACCCAGACGTGTTTTTCAGCTCTGATAGTTTCATGTGTTCTGGTTTTTCTCTGTCCTACATGTTTACACCCCGTCCTCCTGCCCAGGTGGGTTTCGTGCACAGGTGCGTTACCTTCAGCTCCTGCATGGTGAGCTCGGTGCCGTTCTCTTTGGCGCTCTCCATCAGGACGTCCAGCGCGTCGCTGTAATCCTTCCCCTGGGAACACAGCGGCTTCTCCCTGATGGCTTTCTCTATGCTTTTCTGGAGGGTGTCACGTGCACGGATCCCCTGAAAACACACGGATCACGTTAACCAACCAACCAATCAGCCAACCAACCAGCCAACCAATCAGCCAACCAACCAACTAACCAACCAGCCAACCAACCAACCAACCAACCAACCAATCAGCCAACCAACCAACCAACCAGCCACACAACTGGTCACAGACTTTGGCAGAAAAGTTGTTTTTTCTTTCTGTACATATAAAAGCACACAGCTGTTAGCTCAGAATGGATGATAATGGCCCACTGAGCCAACTAGAAGGTGGAAGATATGAAATGATAACATGGAGATCAGGTGAGCTAAGCACAACGTGGCATGATCGCAGCAGCTAGAACTTGGCAAGAAGAGAATAGTTTTATGTTTGGGGCTCTAAAAAGAGTGTAAAAAAGAAAAAGAGACAAGAAGTAAGGATCAGCACCACTAACCTTCCTGTAGCCGCTGAACGGCAGGTCTATGGGCAGACTGAACAGGTTGTTGACAAAGTCCTGGAAGGTGGAGAACAGATGCCTCATCTCCTCCTCCGACACCCTGAATCCCAGCAGAACCCTGACGGCCATGGTGAACGACAGCCTCTGGCTCTCCCTGCAGAAACATCCAGTGAACACGCTGAGAACGTGGACGCAGAACTCTGAAGCTGCTTCCTTTGATGACAAACTTTGCTTTTAAACTCAGAGTGCACGTCAGGTGTTTGAGGTCTCTGGTGGTGAAGACCTTCTGCCTGAGATCTCAGTGACTTCTACTAGCATGAATGTCATTAATTACTCGTTACCAGCAGAACTGGAGTTGATAGTCTGACCCACTGGATTAAAGATGGTTTCATTAGATGGTTGTTGTGTTGGTTTCTATCTGCAGTGACCCTGACTGAGCGTGTCTGGACTCCAGAACTCTGCCGTACCTGTAGACGTTGATGGGCTCGGGGTTGGAGCTCCACACCCGCAGACTCTCCTGGATCACCTGCTGGATCTTGGGCAGGTAGGACTCCAAGGCCTCGTGGCTGAACACTTTGGCAAACACCTGCGCAGACAGAGGAAGAGGCACACCATGTCATTTCACCTGCAGCACACGGCCTCACCTGTCTGCTCAGGTGAGACAGGACCAGACATGTTAGAAAGTGGCACACTGACAGAAGGGATGAGCTCCACTTGGACAGCAAAGATTATTTACTTAGTTAACTTGTTTAAAGCAACCTGAGTTCTCCAAAGTGCTGCTAACATCAAAGATATGTGCAGACAGCGACCCATAATGACCTAATGTGCTAATTAAAGGAATCGTTCAACTATTAGCCAGTTAGATTACAGTGTGATGAGTGGAATGAGTGTTTAAAACCTTCATTTACGGGTTAGAAAGTCGTCTTTTGGTGTCATGAAGTTGCTGAGTGGAGCTAGCAGCAGGGCACCATGACTCATTCATGGGTCCAACCAGAGCTCCAGTGTTCAGCTGGATCTTTGGTAGCGGTTCTTTAGCTGAGTAGCTAACGTGACCGAGCTAACGTCATGTATCCATGGTTACACATGTCTACATCAGCGTGCTGATGAAGCCTCCACCTTCCTCCCTTCAGTGAGTTCTCAGGGTGAGAGGAAGGTCTACCTGGTCCGTTTGCTCCACAACATCTCCTCATTTCACTTTCTGCCCATGAATCCACCTCTGCTGTGGAGTTAGACCCAGACGTTCCTTCTTGTTCGTTTTCTGTGATGCCCACTCCTCCTCCATCCCCAGATCCTCCCTCCTGCTCCCCCTCCGTCACCCTGAGACTTATGCATTGTGGAGGTTTTCCGCTGCAGTCAGCAGAACCGGAGTGACAGACAGACGGAGGCCGAGGAGGGGCAGCCTTAAGTCTTTCCTGGCTGCTCCGAGTATTTCTTCGTATGAATCAGTCACCAGTCGTCAGCGTTGTTTGGACAAATAACATTCCATCAGATTTAACCTCCAAAACTGCCCCTAAAACAGTCGTGGAAGTGATTTAGAAGTGGAGAACAGTGGAAGCAGAGCCCAGGCAGAATAGGGCTTTTATATGAATATGAATCAGCCGCTGACGCTCGGCTCTGTTTGGATGAATAACATTCTTGTGCGTTTAACCTTTCGAGCTAAAACAAATGTCTCCACATGCAGATGAGGACAGAGGAGAGCACGTTGGCTCCTAATTAGTGCGAGCGCTCTATCAAGCCGTCCAGTTGTGCGGCTCCACAGACTTTCCATAACTTGATTTTATTCATTCTCGAGTTGTGCAGCGGCTACACATGGTTTACATTTTCTGCTCAATGAAACAAGACTGGAACATCTGAACAAGCAGATTTTATATTAGAGATGAATTCTTGTGTGTGACGACCAGTCGAGCCCTTTAATTCACTTCAAGGTTCGGTCAGCAGCAGATTGTTTTGAACGTATTTGTGATTTTTATGTGTTTTATGATCTCCTCCTCACTGCACCTCATCTGCATCGGCTGTTTGCGTCTCGTTTAATCGCCGAGGCTTCGGTTTGCGGCCACGCCGAGAAGCTGAGCGACGCGCTGCAGCCTTTGTTTTTGTGATTCTGCACAACAAGGCGCGGTGGTTCAGTCTGAGCTCACGGCTTTAAACCAACGCGTGGCTGCAAACAACACGTTCTTTAACAACTTTCAGCTGCACTTATTTTTTGAGCAATTTACTGCTAATTTACAGTTTTTCTCTGTTTTGTAAAACTGCAAATGACAACAAAACAATTTCTCCAATTTCCTTATTAAAAAAATCACCAAAACATTTAAAAAACGACGAATCGTATTTCATTCGGTGACAACCTTTGGCTTCGTTTCTGTATTTAAAAGAGCAAAATATATCATTATTCTACAGATATTTGCTGTTGTTTAAATAAGAAAGAACTCAATTCCATCCAGTAGGCAGTGAAGCAACAGTTTGACTGCATTTAAATTATTTTACAGATGTTTGTCTTTCCAGTTTGTGAATATTTGCAGTTTTCCACCATGTTAGTGTATTTTTGTGGCGCCCATGTGTTCATTAAGGACTGAAAAAATGGTCAATAATCGACATTTATCACTAAAAAACAGGAATAATTTACCTGTTATCTTTAAAAAACTAAAAAAAAACAAACTCTGATGAGCTTTTTACTAAATAATTGTGGCTTTAAAAAATAAATCAATCTGTATTTAATTTAGTTACAAAACATACTTTGCTGCTGTTTGTGTTGTAGCTGTGTTCAGCAGTCCAGAACCTTTCCGTGGCGGTTCTCTGGTCCTGGCTGCCAGTTGTTTTTTCGGGCTGTGTTTTACAGTGTTCAGTGTTGTGTGTTTGGATATGCTTTCCATATGTTGACGCTCAGCGATGGAGACAAAGCGCTGCTGCTGCTCTTCATTGAGTCGTAACGGAGGCTGAGAGGGAAGAACGGAGCTTCTGGAGTCCCGGCCAGCGACGGGTAGCTGTGGTTCCTGAGGTCCGTGTTCAGCCACCAAACCATCACTTGGCTGCTCGTTCTCTTATTCTGTCCTCATTTTCCTCTCATTTTCCCTCTCCCTCCTCCTCCTGCTCGCCGCCGCCTCAGAATGAATGAACAATAGCGCTCTGAGCTGCAGCCTGTATGTGAGCGCTGTGTCAGGGAGTGGCTGCTGCAGATCACAGAGCGCTCTAAGACGCTAGCAGCGCTACATTTCCTCTGCTGCCCTCCGGCTGCTGCTGCTGCTGCTGCTGATGGCTGGACATGACCTGCTCTCCAACCCCACCGCAGAGTTACACACCGAGGCTGACCCGACCAGGCTCAGCGCCGGCCGGCCGGACCTCTGCTCTGGTCGCAGCCATGAAGCGACCGATGGAGGCGTCTGTAGCCAACACTAGTGGACGAAGCTGTGAGGGGATACGCATCTTAGCACTGTGTTGGAGTCTTTCCTAAATGGCGCTGATTAGGGATCCGTCTGTGTCATTGTGTCAGAGTTTACTGGTTTCTTATCCAGAACCCAAAACTAAGTTCTATAAAATACGTTGGCTGAATGTTGAGAATTTCTCACGTCAGATTTGGAGATTTTTGGATTTTAAAAAGGAAAAAAACAGTAAAATGTTCAAATGAGGGTTGTGTTGTAGCTCCATAAAGTTCCTGTCATGGATCCATGTTTCTATTAAAACACAGCCTTCGGTCGACATGTCACCAGCGTTACAGAGCCCTTTGACATCCGTAGAATTTAACGTACGGCACCGAAAAAAACCACCCACTAAAAAAAAGCTGTCCAGAATGACTCGAGTTAACAGTTTCATGCACCAAAGCAGCCACATGGCGCACTGATTGGTGGGTTTGTTGTGTCTCTGTGGGTCGTAGTAACATCGCAGTCTGACAAAAAGCTGCCAAAATGGCCCGAAACGCATCCAGAATAATCAGAGAGGTGTCACACCGTGCTTACAGGTGTTTAGAATGACCAGAATAAGTTCCAAATGACAAAGAAATCATCAAAATGACCCAAAGGTTGCACTAAATAGTTTAGAAATGCTAAAATAATGTTTGAAATGACCAAAACTTTTCTAAAAGTACTCAGAAATCGTCCAGAATGAATTAAAATGTCCAGAATGGCTTAAAAATGGTCCCAAACCTTTAAAGAAAATGTCCAAAATGACTCCGAATCTGTCCTTAGTTTTTTATAAACGGTCTAAGATGACTCAAGCTTGAGCTTCTCGACCTTCTACATGCAGAAGTAGCTCTAACACACCAGAGACAGCAGAACCTGGAGCTGTGACAGAATAAAGAACCCAGTTTAAAGCGGGCTGCTAGGTGATTGGGTGAAGTCCTGGTGAAGGCACCGCCGGTTGTGTAACGCTGTGAATTTAACCATTTAACCCGTCTGCACCGGATTATGTATAATTGGTCAATTTGAGCAGCACTTGGGCTTTTCCTCGGCGACCCGCGGACGCAGCAGCAGCAGCCGAGCTACTGTGGCCCAGAGGTAACTACAGGTCACACAAACACGGCGCAGCGGCCGCCGAGCTGACTGCGTTTTTTGGTGCAGCGTCACTGTGGGACGTTCCACTCAGGACCAGTCACTGTGCTGCACCACAGAAACGTGACTGTCCTGCGTAGCCTGCAGCACAAACACACTGATACAGTCAGACACAGGCGTCCTAATAACGTCCATATGTCTTAAATTATGTGAAAGTGCTGCGAGCTGCTGGTTCCACAGACATGTAAAGACTCCTTTATTCTTTCCTCTGCCCTCCTTTCCCTCCGTCGCTCTGCTCCCTCCTCTTCCCGGCTCTCCCTGCCCCTTCATCCATCCTTCTTCTTAAAAACACTTCTTACTCCTTTCTCTCTCTCTCTCTCTCTCGGTCACACGGCTGTGGATCCGAGCCGGGCTGCGTTTACAGAACCACAGCAGCGGTCCAATCGTCTGCTCAGGAGCGTCCTGAATGTGTTTCCAGCTGCAGGACGCTCACTCCATGAAATATCACTCCTCCAGAACCTCCTCAGAACATCTGGTTCTGTATCTACTGACCAGAGTTCTGCCTTCAGACTGTGAATGTCCCAGAGGTCCAGGTCCTTCAAGTCCACAGAGGAGGGTCCAGATTGATCACTTTAATGGACTTTTTCCATCATTTCTGAGCCTCAGAACTTCATCAGTACAGCAGATAGACACATGACATTTAGGAGGAAGAACACATCTGGGTTCTGGTAGAACCTGACACCGGATCAGTTCTACATCCATCCAGGTGTCTCCGTCTGAACCCTGTGTCTGGGTCCTGGGAGCATCAGTATTATGGGATGTCTTGTAGTCTGATTATACTGATAAACGGATTCTAGGTCTTCATCTGGGTCAGCTTCACCACATTCAGGAGGAAAACGGTTCTTTTTATATTTTAGATGTTTAAAAATATGATCAACAGACAATAAAATCTGCATTTTTATAAAATCATACTGAATCCTCTCCACCTGCTGCATCAGCAGCACCATGTTGGACCAGAGCTGTGAGGGCCTGACCTCCTCCTCTGACTGATGTCAACACGACGGCAGTGTTTTAACGTCGCGTTGCTGCAGAATGGACTGAAAGCATAAAACCTGCAGCGGCCAGGCTTTGCTCAGACAGCAGCCGTGTCCAAACGTCAGGACTCCTGATGTGTTCAGAGTAAACTTGACCTCTGACACCGACGGAGCTGAGGGAGGCAGAGCTGTGAGAACAGACTTGGCAGTGCCCTCTACTGGCCGTGTGGACGCATGATCCCCTCCACAGACAGACAGACAGACAGACCCACCGGGTCACTGTGTCCAGAGCATCAGCTGTTTGTCTGCAGCTCAGTTTTAGTGCGTCCAATCATCCTTCAACCTGGGAATGTCTTCAGCTTCATGAGCCCAAAGTTCACACTTTTTTGAGCCTCGTGTCACCATCTACAGAATAAATCTCTTCCTGCTCATTTCTCTGCAGTCAGCTTTGTGCTTCAGAGTTTCACCAGTTTAGTTCTGGTTCAGGTCTGATTCTCACCTTTAGAGAACTGTTTGACCTCAGACTGGATCCTGTCTGTAGATGGTTCTGGTGTGTTCTGGAGGTAAAACGGTTCTTCCATTGTCTAGACCTGGTTCTGACCAACCACCTGCCCCACGTTGCTCAGAAATAGTTAGAAATTACTTCTTTAAAAAAGTTTTAAAGTGACTCAGAAAATGGTTCAAAATGACGTGAAAGTTGTCAAAAAAAATCCTCAAATCAGTCAAAGATGAACAGAAATGTGACCGACTGACTTTAAATTTGACACAAACACTAAAAATCGCCTCTGATTCCTGAAAAATCGTCCAAAATGACTCAGATTTGTTTTTAAAAACGGTCCTTCCATTGTCTAGAACTGGTTCTGACCCAGCACCACCACACATGCTGATATGAGCCTGGAACTTTTACCCAGAATGCACTTTGTAGAGTTTCCTCTGGTGACTGAGCAGAACCAGAACCACATCCAGGGTACCAGTGATTGTTTCTATGACTCTGTGTCATAGACATTAAACTGGTGCCACTATGATCCATCCCATAATACTGATGCTTCATCAGATATACTAAGGTGCAGCAGATAAAGAATCAGCTGGTCCTGGGTCAGTCCAATGCTCTGACCCAGAGGTCAGGTCTTGGTCTTTGGCTGTCTTCCTCTGGTTCTGTTCTGCTCAGTTTAGGAATCCAGCGACGGTTCCAACAGAAAGAAAAACAAGTGGGGAAGGAAAATGTGGAGAGAGACAGAGAGGAGGGCAGAGCAGCCTGAAAGGTGAAGGAGTGGCTGTGGTTCTGTTCTGGTCGGTGATGGAGGACGGGCTGACCTCCTCGCTGCTTTATCAGACTGATCCAGCTCCAGGACGCTCCGGTAACGGCTCGTTCTGTCTGGCGCCAAGAATCAGGAACAAAGATCAAACCTGCTTGAGCTGAAAACCATAAACCTGAACCAGTGCTGAGTTCTGACACCTCACAGCGTCGTGAAGGTCCAGAAGGTGGACTGAAGCCTCCTGAGCAGGACTTCATCAGATCTGGACCTCTGCAGCTGGTTTAGCTGATCAATGTGTCTATTAATTTCATTTTTAAAAATCCCTTTATAGTCAGAACAACGAGTCGGTACAACCCGATAGAATCAAGCTGAAGATCCGTAAATCCGTTCCACTGATGGTGGAGGAAACACAAACTCCTTTAACAACTGAGTTTAGTTTGATGGTTGAACATATTTCCATGAGAAGTTCAGACAGATGAACTGGACCCAAACCTTTTCCACGGCGTTCCGGCTCCACTCGGTCCAGAGACTCACGTTTGTTTCTCTGGAAACTTGGTTTGAGCTGGTTCTGAGCGAGGAGCGTGTGTTTGCAGCACCGCTGCAGATATCTGATGCTGTTTTCGCTGGAGGATGATGTGTAAGTCCTGGCTGGCCCCATTTGGCCCCGCTTGGCCCGGCTCGGCCAGTAGTGGAAAACCCAGTGCGCTGTGGTTCTCTGACAGAGTCGGGCTCCTCGCTCAACACGGGGTTAGATGGAAACTGGCTGGCTCTGCCGTCCACCAAGGCTAATGTGCTGTGTGCAGATTGTTTTTCCGAAGCGAAGCCGCAGGAGGAGCAGTTCTGGTCCAGTGGGTCAGACAGCGAAGGAACGCTGCTCATTCTTTCTCCTGCTCGGTGTTGTTTCGCTTCTGTCTGTCGACTCCGTTTTATGATCCAGAAAACAGGAGGGCGGGCGGCCAGCACCAACACCTACATCAGCCCAGAGGCTGCCCACATGACCTCCAGCGTCTCCGTCAGGCTGGTCTCTGGTTCAGGCTGCAGTCCAGCGTCCTGCTGAAGGTCTCCAGAGCGACCACACTTATCGGCTGAACACATGCCAAGACATGACCTGTGTGTTCACCGTCGACACTCTGAACCAGAAGGTTTGGGCTCAACGACAACAGTCTGTTTGACTTCTGATGACATTATGTTCAGATCCAACCGCATGGACTTTGTTGTCTGCGCTAGCTGCAGCTCCATCCTCCTGTCTGCTGTCACTCAGCTGTTTCCTGGTTTGGTCGCCTCATCCTGAGCTGCTGTCGCCGTTCTAGTTGGTCCCAGTTGGTCCCAGTTGGTCTTAAACTCATGAGCTCTGGTTGGAGGTCCTGAACCTGTCTTGGTCTCTGTCATGGTCCCGTTGCTGCTAAACTCCCACAATGCTCTCTGCTGCCAACCAGGAAGTGACGCCTCCTCTGGTCTTTACAGGATTAAACAGGAAGAGGCTCCCCCTGGAGGAACAAGCAGGTACTGCAGCTGGTCTACAGTACGTTTCCTGACATACAGGTTTACTCCATCTGGTGGCGCCTCAGTACATCCTGCTGTTGTTACGACCGGCTAATGTAGGCTAGCTCTGCATTAGACAGGGTTCTACCGGAGCTTTGCTACAAGGTTCCACCTTCAGAACATGAAGGACCGGACTGGAGGCAGAGAGGCAGGTCTTAGCAGCTCCTCAGTACGTGCTCTGGACTGACTGCAGTGACTTTACTGTCCTGACGTGTGTGTTGTTGTAGAAGCTGGATTGTAGATCTGCTGCTGACTCAGAGCATGAATATGAGAGGAGGCGTGTACGTGCAGATACTAAACAGCTGAGGTTTCTATGTGACGCTTGTTGGCTCTGTTTATAAACCAGGTAGCCGGTATTGTGTTGCTCAGAAACCCGCGGTTCTGAGCAGCGCTGCTGACCCGGTCTGCGGCTGCTAGCGCTGCGACCGGGGCAGGTGTGTGTGCACATATGCTGCGAGTGTGTCGGCCCCCACAGAAAGCCCCTCTTTGTGCCGTGTCGGAGGCAGCCTTCCTAATCAGGGGTCATTACATGAGGTTAGTGCGGGGGTCTCCAGGGAGAGGAGAGGGGATCAGAGCTCAGATTAGACCCAGCCGACCCCTCGCCGTCCCCGGGCACCGCGGCTCAGAAACCCGACCCCGCCTCCGAGCCCCTTCCTCCCGCCGCAGAGGGGGAAAATGAGCGAGTGATTTACAGGAAAACACAGCAGACTCTGCTGCCTGTTGTTGCCAGTCTTTGTGTGTTTATCTGTGACGTTGTGTGTTGGAGGGAGACGGAGGTATGCGCCCCGGGGATCAGCGGATAATAGGAGGCAGAGGTAAGTGGCTGATTACCTGAAATGGTCCTGGCACAGAAAGGAGAGCGAGAAAGTGAAAGATAATAGGCAGAGTCCGGAAGGAATGACAGAAATGAAGCAGAGGAGGTAAAAGGCAGCTTCTCTGTCCTCATGTAGATGAGTGGAGGACAGGATGGAGTGATGGAGGCCTCGTTCTCACGCTTCAGTAGCCAGAGCGCTGCTGATAAGGCTGGATAGCTTTACACTGATACTGGCCCTCTGTGTGTGTGTCCTACCTTCCTCTTTGTGCAGCACATCACAGTCAGTGTGTTGTCTCTGCTTCTGGCTGCGCCGCATGAATATTGATGAGCGTTTCACAGCGAAAATGACGAGAAACGTTTCCCAGATGACCCCGAAAATGGTCCAGAGTGGCAAAAGTAATGTCAGAATACCGCCTCAGACTATATGCAGCTGTGAACAACAAGCAGCTGTGTCCAGCACCATGAAGAACATGAAGCAGAGGATGGGCTTTAAACATCTCACATCATGTAGATCAGCGTTACGGCCGTGAGCTGAATATCTCTGAGGACGAAGGAGGACATTTGTCTTGAGCTTCTGGACACACTGATCAACTTTGATTTACTGTTGTCGACGTTTAATGGACCAAACAACTGACTGATTAAACGTCTGATTAAACCAACAGCAGCTCTGAGGAACAGAAACTATTGTTGGGTTCTTGAGCTACTTTATCTGCTCTATGTGGTGCGTTTGGGAAAACTGACCAAAGTGAGGCCTGAAGTCTGAATATTTCATCAAAAGCTTCAAAATGTGCAAAAATAAAACCTTAACTCAAACCTTCTGCCCGGTTCTTCAGAACCGGTGCTGAAGCGGATGTGAAAGGCTGCTACGTGTGTTTTTAACTTGAAAAACTGAAAAAACAAAACGTGCTGTTGAACTTTGTAACAGCTGCAAAGTCCCTTTATTCTACAATAAAGAACCATAAATATGAATCCACCGTCTCACTGAACACATTCTGAGCTCATCACAGCAACCAGGAAGTCGTCAGGGATTCAACAAACTGAACCCGGAGCGGTTCTGAGAGCAGCAGCCGGCGTGTGCGTTCGTCCACTGACCTTCCTCCTCTTGCGGTGGATGTCTCCGATGCTGTTGGCGAGCGAGTTGGGTCCGAGCAGCGTGGAGGTGCTCTGGGGCCAGTCCACCGTCACCAGCGTGTGCTCGCCCATCAGAACCTTCCGCACGTTCTCAGCGCCCGTCACCCGGATCAGGGGCCGACCCAGCAGGTGGGTCTTGAACACGTTGCCGTACTTCTGCCTCCGCGACGCGTGGAAGCCCGAACCCTGCAGCAGGACACAGATGGGTCAGAACTGTGGAGGTAGAGGACACTAGCTGGAGTTACTGTCATGCATCACAGGCAGCGCTGACACCTGGTTCTGTGTTCAGATCTCAGTCCAGCCCGTGAAGCATCAACAGAAACACATCACAGAAAATCATCTTTGTTATTCAGTTCTACAGAGAAGGAGGGAAACGGAAACACTGAGCGAGTGAAACAAGGAAACCATCTGAACTCTGCTTCAAGGTGGAATTTCCCTTTACTGGTCCTGCAGAAGAACGGCTGTTTGGAGGAAACCCTCCGACACTCTCCGTGTCTCTGACGCGACAGAAATCTCCTCGTTCTCCTCACGGCGAGCTTCTTTCACTTTCTGTCTCAAGGTTTCATTTAAATTCTTAGCTAAGAAAATACACGATGTGATGAATGAATGACAGATTCACAGAAAGTTTAGCTCCCGTTAGACGTCTGGACGTTCACACAGACGTAGTTAACGAGACGGAGAAGGTTTGTGATGATTCAAACATAAAAACAGGCCACAGTTCTGCTTCAGCTTATTACAGAGCTGGAAGACGTGCCTCTGAGCCTCACGTTCCATAGAGAGGATGAGAGGTTAAATACTGGAGACGCTGTGGTGCTCATGAGAGGAAGATCATCACATCTTCATCACCGACCAAACCCTGCCTCGACGAGCTCGTCCTGACTGACTCCTACAGTTGATATTAATTTAAAACAGTCTTCAGGACGTGACCTTCGCTGCAGCTTTGATCTTCATCTTTGAAAGTATTTCTTCTCTCTGTGGTTTGGGGCCCAAACAGACTGTTTCTGCTGATTCTCCACATGCTAAACGTTACGCAGGGAGAAGGGAAGCTGCACATGTTCAGAGGCCTGTAGACATCAGGTTAATGCGCTGGAGACGGGTTTCAGTTGCCTTTAGGACACGATCTGAGATCAGCTCCAACATCAGCAGCCTCTCAGTGAGCAGTGAAGGTTAAAGGTTCTCCAAACAGTCTCAGGAGCAGAGATGAGATGTTTTTATACCGATGTGGCTCCCACATTTAATCAGTGTCAGCCTCAGTTCGTCCACGTTGGTCTGGATGTGGACACCAGGAACTTACAGAACACACGAGTTCTGGTAGAAGCTTTGACACTCTGTCATCTGTTTAATCCTCCTACGGGATCAATCAGGCTCACAGTCTAAAGACGACGTCTGCTGTTCTGTTCATAACCAGAACCGCCACAGTCCTGCTGAACACTCCAGGTTCTGTTGCCTCAGACGATAGATTCGCCTTTTTCCTGTTGTGAGCCCCGCCGCCCGTTTTAAGGCCCCCGAACCTCAGTTTGAGCAGCGCGGCTGTCAGTTACAGCCCCAGAGGACGGAGCTGGAGTCAGTTAGCGAGCTGACCTGAGTTCAGCTTTGACGCTGACCTCTGAACGGGCCGGGTCACGGCAGAGCGAGAGGGAGCCGACCCCAGAACTGTAAATGGGCTGTTTGAGTGAAGAGAATATATATCAGCCTGAGGCCTGCTCACCGTGTTACACACACACACACACACACACACACACACACACACACACACTGAGGCGCACAACACATCATTCACATGGAAGTATTCACACATACAGTCAAAACACACATCCATGCACTCATTCAAGTGCATGTTCAGGTCCACACACACACACACACACACCTACTCACACACACACTCACACACACACACACACACACACACACACACACACTCACACTCACACACACACACACACACACACACACACACTCACACACACACTCACTCACACTCACACACACACACACACACTCACACATACTCCAGATTCATAAAATTCACCAAAAAAACGTGCAAAGCAAACAAACATGCAGAGGCCCAACTGCAAATTGCCGTGACAACACTAACTGGTTTGACCCCAGTTTACTCGAGGGGAAAGAGATATGTACGACCGTGAGCCCCACACACACACACACACACACACACACTGGGGGTAATATATGTACACACACGCCGTGAAGCCGCACTATGAGCTGCTGTACGAGGCTTCAGGTCCACGTTTGTCGTCTGTCTCTGCCTCCGATGTTGGAGACTGTTAGCGTTGTGTGTGTGTGCACGGAGCTCGTGTGTGTGTCGGGTTGTGTGTAGCGTGTTTGTGCGTTCGTTTGTGTAGTTTGTGTTGCTTTCAGTTCCTGTGTTCGATCGCGGCGTCGTGTGATCTCGTGCTTCAGGCTTGATGTTGATAAATTCCACATAAAATCAACCAAACGTGAACAAAGTGACGCTAACAAGTCAAAGCTGCTGCTGAGTTAGTTGATCTGCTCCGAGCTCCGTGGTTTTGTCGTATTCAGCGCGTCATTTCTCTGAGTCTATGTTCTGCCCTGGCTTATATGTACCTGAACTGTCTGCACATTTACATTTTTAAAGAAACTGATTTTCCCCCCTGAAGACCAGCTGCAGTACCTGGTTGTTCCACCAGGGGGAGCCTCTCACTGTTTAACCCTGTAGAGACCAGAGGGGGCGTCACTCAGACTCCAGCTCACGCTTAGCTAGCAACGGGCCCATGACAGAGGAGGTGAATGAGCTCCAGCCAGAGTGCTCATCAGAGATACAACATGTTGGTTAAAGATGGTTTTATATGCAGAGAGAAAAGACTTCATCCTTCTACTGACTGATTGATTATTGATTGATAATGCAGCTGACTGTTGGTTGACGTTTTCGCTGTTGAGCTTCAGACAGTATTACAGTTTGGGTTCACATACGAAGCTTTTGCTCCATTTTCTGGGTGAAATGAGTTCATCTGACGGAGAACCTTTCAGCTCACAGTCGACCAGGACTCAGTGTCAGCACACTGCAGAACGCTTGGAGGTGTGACTTAGATCTACACCTTTGTTTCAGTCGTCTAACCACAAGAAAACCAAACCACAACCTTTTCTAAACGTTAGTAGCGCGTCGCCCAGCCTGCTTCCTGCTCCAGACGCGACGCCCTCTGAGGCCAACCTGCTCTGATCTGCTTCAGAGGAAACCTTTGACGTGATAGAAGCTGAAGAAGCTGCAGCGAACACCTGTGGGAGCGCCGCCGGAGACAAGACCACGTCCCAGAGCTCACATCTTCTCTGCTGCTCCTGCTTCTCGGCTCCTTCTCTCCTTCCTTTCCTCTCATCTCAGCGTTTCTCTGTGTGAACTCGGCCTAAATTGAGCACAGATGCCTCGGCCTCTCTGCAGCTCTGTGAGCTGTTTCATGTTGCTTTGAAAACTCTGATTGCCAGACTGCTTTTATAGATGAAAAATGCTGCTAATTAGCATTCGGCCCCACCTCCGCCGCTGCGTTTGTAATTGCACTTAAGCTCCTTCAGATGTGAGGAGCTGGAGGTGTTATTTTATTTACGCCCGGCGCTCCGGCTGGCGTTTCAGCGTTCCTGACATCACGTTTCACTTTATTCGGGGCGACTTTATTTATCTTAGCGTATTTTTAAAGCTGCATTATTCCTCTGCTGCAGCTCTGCGGACGTCGGCCTCCGTCGCTGGCTGGCTCTGGCTGCACACTGTTGACCCGGAGTGTTTTCACAGCTCCTGTACACTTCCGCTTTCTGCTGTGGCATGCACACACACACATTAACACACACACCGGGTCGCCGGCTGGCCTCTGCAGCCCTCGGGGTGTGTGTGTGTGTGTGTGTGTGTGTTGGACTGGGGTTGTTTTCCAGCTACATTTTGCTGCCACATGGATGTAGAGTGGTTTAGTATGTCTGCCTGGCAGGCCTGCCGACACACACCAACACACACACAGCCGGCTCAAAGGGAGTTCCTCAGGCAGCCAGACAAGGCTCCCTTTCACACTCCCAGATACAGCATCAGATTGGCCGATTGTGAGCTTCTCCTCAGTGTGTGTGTGCGTCTCTGTGCATTGTGCGTCTCTCTGTGTTTTCTTTCTGCTCATTCTGTCATATTCCCCAGTAGAAAAGTGTCCAGTAGAACTGGGATAATGTGTGAGTGCCAGGGGTGTGGTCTGGGTGACATTTAGCTGCAAAGGTGAGAAGTGTACCCTCCCCCCTCCCCCCTCCCCCCGACACACAGCCAGGATGGAAAGTTGTGATGTAATGACGCCACGCTGGTGTTGCAGGAGAACACGCTCATACAGGATCTCTGGGACGCTTTCCCTCCAAACTCCAGGAGCTCCTTCGCTGTAAACACTCGCTTAGCAAAGGAAAAAAAAAAACCCAAAACCAAAATTGCTACCACAACATTACGGCTGATTTTACCGCCGAGGTCACAGGCAACAAACTCTGATGTGAGCTGAAAACCAGAGCGAGGTTTCTCCTAATGATGGCGGCAGCATAAAGTTTTAAAGCTTTCTTTCTTCTCGCGGACGTGTTACTAAGCAACTCGGAGGCGTGCGAGCCGGCCGCGGCGGCAGAAAACATGATCCGTGTTTGGTTTAGACTCCTCGTGTGAATTTTGCTCTCAGTGACGTGTAAAAAAAAAATCCTGCAGCTTTGTCTGCAAATTGAATTTCTTGTGACTGTTTGTGAGCCGCAGCCAATCAGAGAACAGCAGCAGCATCTGAACAAACACTTTTCTTTATTCCAGCTGCATGAAAGTGTAAATAACGCTGCTTTCTGTATTTTAAATAATCCCAGTTGACTCGTTTGTGTCCTCGGCCTCATATGTGCATCAATTAGGAGCTTTTCTTTGTTTAGAATAATTAAACGTGTCCCGGCTTCACTACAACGTCTAAAACTTCTGTTGGAGCAGATTCTGTCTTTCTTCTGTTTTTGTGGTTTGATCTGCAGCAGAACTCTTACAGATCAGCGGTGTTACGGCTGCAGCGCTCACAGTCAGAAGCAGACTGTGATCCGCATGAGGATAAACGACGATGTTTGTTAGATGTTTTATAGAGTTTATTAACGTGAGCTTTCAGACGTCGTCCGGGGATAAATGTGGCCGTCATCATCCGTCAGCTCTGATTCACTCCACCTCACAACAAGCTGCAGCTCAG